AGCTCGAACAGGCTGCAGAGAGATGTTGTAGGGCAGCGTAAGGGGAGTGTCTAGGGGTATGCACAGGCTCAGGATTGGTGCCCCTCCAGGCTTGGAGAGCTTGCCCTGTGTTGATTGGTCAACTGGTTGTTATGGCCCATAGGCCCTCCCAGGGTGGTTGCTATGCTCTTCGCGTCATTGCTGTGCACTTGTCTGTAAAGCACACCCAGAGCCATAAAGCATAGCACCACCAGATAACTTCTGATTGGTTCCTTGCCACGAGACAGGCATCTGACTTCTAATACACACACATTTTTAAAATTAAAAATATAGCATTTAAAAAGTATAGAGCTAGAAAGTTTTTAGAAAATCTTTATTGTAATGATTTTCAAACTTTTGGCTATGACTCACAGCAGGAAACAGTTTTCTTTCTTTTGTGACCTGATACCTCCAATGTAGGTAAAACACAATTTTTACAAAACATCCTATCATTTATACGGCATAATACATGCTTACCTATATTTTTCTATTTTCTGAATTCAGTCTATTCCTTTTTTGTTTTTAGATGATTAATCTTTTAGTTAATTAATTACCTACAAGTTAATTTGGAAATTAATAGAAGCAGATTTGGAAGCTAGAGCATGGGAGGAAAAAGCCTTTGTGTTCTCCAGTAATGATGCAAAAGGCATTAAAGAGATCAGTGTGACAAAACTTGGCCTGATGGCTCATGTCAGTAATCCCAGCACTTGGGAGGCTGAGACAGATGGATTGCAGTGAGTTCCAGGCAAAGCTGGTGTTGTTACGTGGTAGTTCCAGGACAGCCTAGGATACTTGAGACCCTGTCTCAAAAATGAACTGTAGTGGCATCTTGTTCCAACAGTGGACTTGTGGTGTGGCCTCAGGTATGCCGATGTGACCCCTTATAAGGAAGAAGAGAGGCTGGCTTGCTCTCCTGGGTTGTGGTTGGAGCATCCAGACAGACCCCTTATAAGGAAGAAGAGAGGCTGGCTTGCTCTCCTGGGTTGTGGTTGGAGCATCCAGACAGGCATCTTCAGGAACAGGAAGACTTCAGCGGTTATTTGCCATCATTGTGTGAGTGCTAAATATCTGCTAATTCTTTATCTGGGTATTTATGGACTCCTATACACCCACCTTCATTGTACTTTTAGAATAGCTTGGATTTGCAGTATTCACAGTTAATATGCTAAGGTGTGTGTTTGGGGTCAGGGGTGTAAATCCAAATCACACATGTTTAAAGCTACTGAATCATATAATTTAAAGTATTCTAGCAGCCTAAATGTCACCATTCTTAAAATGCAAGGCTTTCAAAATTAATTCTTTATTTCCAAAAGTTAAAAATTAGGGACTGGGGATGTAGTTCAATTGGTACAGTGCTTGCCTAGCCTGCACGTTACCCTGGTCCCTAGTACAACATAAAACCAGGCATGGAGATGCACACCCGTGATCCCAGCACTCTGGACATGGAGGCAGAAGAGCAGAAGTTCTAGGTCATCCCTAACAATGTATAGTGAGGCCGGACGGTGGTGGCGCACACCTTTAATCCCAGCACTCGGGAGGCAGAGGCAGGTGGATCTCTGAGTTTGAGGCCAACCTGGTTTACAAAGTGAGTTCCAGGCCAGCCAAGACTGTTGCACAAAGAAACTCCATCTTGAAAAAAAAAAACACCAAAACCAAACCAACCAACTAACCAAACAACAACAGCAAAAACCCAATATATAGTAAGTTTCAGTCCAGCATAGACTATACCAGACTGTCTAAAACAAACAAAAAAGGCAGTGGGGGGGGGTAACTAGATCAGTTGGTAATTTGTTGGCCATGTAGGTACTGGACCTGAGATTGATGTTGTCTAGCTGGAACTTCCAGCTCACTCCTGCTTGAGCCAGAAAGCCCCATTCCTCTCTCTACAAACCCCACACTTTCAGAGAATCTTCAAGAAAAGGTGCCAAAAAGCCCAGTTCCTCATTCTTGGCAGCTATGGTGTCTCCTCACCTGAAGTTGCCAGCAGCCCAGTCCCTACCTAAAGTACTCAGCTTACGGCAGACACATCATCACCTCTCATCCATAGGCTATATAACCTCCCTGCTTTAGTTGGGGCACATGACTTCTGCCTCAATCACTGGGGCTGGAGAACTCACCTTGGAGTTGCTTTGCTCGGATAAACCTCTTCTTTTACTTTTTCAATTCAGCTTAATCTGGTTACTGCATCAGCCGAAAAACCTATTATCGAGATGTAGAATACCTATTAGATGTCTGTTATGGAATAGAGTATTCGTTTAACTAAGTAAAGCTGTGTTACATTTGTTTGTGTTGCAGAATAATTGTTTAAGTATGTGAAGATGTGTAGCATTTGTTTATGCTGCATTTGTTTAATTATGTAAAGGTGTGTTGCTGTTTTACCTTACCTGCCTAAGGCATCTATTGGTCTAATAAAAAGCTCAATGGCCAATAGCTAGGCAGAAGAGGGATAGGAAGGGCTGGCAGGCAGAGAAAAAAGGGAAGGGGGGGAGGGCAGCCAGACACACAGGAAGCAGGAAAGCAGAATGGACAGTGCAGTAGATGAGGTAAACAAGCCTCAGGGCAGCACATAGATTAATAGAAATGGTTAATTTACATTTAAAAGAAGCTAGCTAGAAACAAGCTTAAGCTAAGGCAAGCATTCATAATTAATAATAAGTTTCTTTGTCATGGTCACACATTAAAAAAGAAAAGAAGAACTGGGATTGTCATGTAATTCAATCTTGTTTGTAATTCAAATTTTAAAAAAAAGCAAACAAAAAAAAAAAAAGAAAATGAGGTGGGGTTAGTGAGATGGCTCGGTAGCAGTTCTCAATCTTCTTAATGCTGTGACCCTTCGATACAGCTCCTTGTGTTGTGGTGACCCCAACAATAAAATTGTTTTCGTTGCTAATTTATAACTGTAATTTTGCCACTGTTGTGAATCGTAATGATATGTGACCAGTTGAGAACCGCTCACTTAGAGGATAAAGGTGCTTGCTACCATGGCTGATAGCCTAAATTTGATCCCCAGGACCCACATGATGGAAAGAAGAAATGAACGAACTCCTGTAAATTGCCCTCTGACCTCATTCACATACATGTACCTGACCATCTGAATTTAATCCCTTAGGGCCAGCAAGATGGAGCAGAGAACCAACTCCAGAAAGTTGTCCTTTGACCTTCCCATGCTCACTGTGTTGCATATGAAATACATACACAATGAATGTAATAAACACATTTAAAGAAAAGAGCAAGATGTAGTGGTGTATGTCTTCAATCTCAGTGATTCTGGAGGCAAAGGCAAGCAGATCTCCGTGAGTCTGAAAACAACATGACCTACATAAGCAAGCTCAGTCAGCGCTATGGAGTAAGACCCGGTCTCAAAAAAAAAAAATTCACATACATTCAAAAAGGTTAGAATTTTGACAATCCAGTCTGCTCACCTTGACACAAGTGTTCTGTTTTTGTTTTGGTTTGTTTTGTTTTCAGCTTGGGGTTTTTATGGGGGATTTTAGTTGCTTTGTTTCTCTTTTTGCATAGCACTGGTGTACAAATTCAGGGCTTTGCATATGCTAAGCAAGTACTCTACCACTGAGTTACATCCCCTAGCCCTGGACTAAATTTTTCTAAGCCAGTAACACAAGGGTGACCCCTCAGATCCTTCCTGAGGGCCAAGGAATGGGCCTGGGAGATTTGTAATTATGTTGGGCAAATTTATCTAGTTGCTTAGTAAAGTAAACTAGTTATCTAACAGTTTTTTGAAATTGCTATCACTGGATCTAACACTGGGTCCATTTTCCCTCTTGAAATTGTGGAACCAACAAACCTCAGGTATCAATTGAACACCAAAAGGGACTGATTCTGGCCAAAAATAGAGGTATTGGAAGATAAACCCTAACTTCTCCAGCTGTTGAGGGCTTAGAGGCTCTCCATACCTGGTAAAAAGGGGCGGCATAGGCTAATAATACTTGAGGAACACTCACATATTTTTCTGGGATTGGACAGAAAATGTCTCCGGGAATTTGGGTCCTGGCTCTTCTTGCTCTTTATATGGTTCTTTTCAGTCCACAGCATGCAATTGCCAACCGCCATGGAGCTAGGGTGTCACTTAGCATACAGATGGAATTACAATGAAGGTAGAGTTAGTACTGCTGTCTCTGAGCCATCTCACATAGAACCAGTTTCTGCTAGCCTACCTGAAGAACTTGCAATTTATGGACACCCTCTACTCATAGAAAAACAGGACTGTAGAAATTCAGTATGTCAAGTACTCCTCTGCATCTCATTGCTTAGCGTTGTTGCTCACAACCCACTAAATTAACACTGGACTCACTCGTAGGTCTTAAATTGAGCTTAAGAACCAACCCAGCCGGGTGATGACCTGTAATCTCAGTACTTGGGAGGCTGAGGCAGAACTGACAGCGGTTTAAGGCCAGTTTGAGGCTGCATAGCAAGATCTGGTCTTGAGAAGAAAGAGGAGGAAGGGAGGGGAGCGGGAAGGGAAAAGGGGGGGGGAAGAGGAGGTAGAAAAGGAAGAAGAAGCCGGGCATTGGTGGCACACGCTTTTAATCCCAGCACTCGGGAGGCAGAGGCAGGCGGATCTCTGTGAGTTCGAGGCCAGCCTGGTCTCCAGAGCGAGTGCCAGGATAGGCTCCAAAGCTACACAGAGAAACCCTGTCTCGAAAAACCAAAAAAAAAAAAAAAAAGAGGAGGAGGAAGAAAAAAGAAATAGCAGAAAAAGAAAAGAAAAAAATAACCCATGAGGTCATCAGAGAAACTTTCTGAAGTAGATTTGCAGTACCCACGGTACGCGGACGGGGCGTGGTTTCTCCTCCCCTCGCCCACTTTTTGCACCGCCCCCCTCCCCATCTCCGTTGCGCAAAGGCGACAGGAGGCGCTGTGCCTGCAGGGCCCGGGTTAAGAAGAGAGGCCCCGCCCCTTAAGCTCATCCGTGAGCGCCACGGTCGCGTCCCTCTGACGTCAGAGAGCTGTGCGGCGGGCTGTGCAGTGGTGAGTTGGTGTGCTGGGCAGTTGGGTATGGTGGTCGTTGGTACTGCTCCCTGCCGGGACGGGGAGACGGGTGAACAAGGGAGGCTTGGAGGCCGCGACAGCAGGTTTGTTCACGGAGGCTCCAGGGGCCCAGGGGTGACTCCGTGATTGCTTACACCGGCTAACCCGCGAGGCACGAGTCCCGCGGGCAGACAGAAGGCCCTTAGGCGGACTTCTTTTGCATCCAGATAATGTGTTGTGCATCCCGGAAATGAGGCCCGGCTCCTTTGAGGGGGAGGTAGTTTTCTTCTAGATAGAGGACTGTCTTAACACAAGTTCTCCAGTATTTAGCCACGCCATTAGGTAGCAAGCTTCACGTCAAGGCACACTTAGAAGTAGAGACTGAGTTCCTTTCAAGTGCCGTATGGTATTGTGCGTTACTAACGTGCCTGAGGAACTTCCATAGAGACAGAGGTTAGTCCCTGGGAACACTGAGGAATGAGCATTGAATTCTAACTGGGAATTTTTTTCTAAAGAGAGAAGGTGGTATAAGAGGAGGCTTCTAGGTGTCTCTTAGTTCTGAAATTGCCTGTCATGAGATGTGGCTTAGCATGAGCTATAGCTTGTATTGTCCTTCTTAGGGACGCTTCCCTCAACCGCTCTAAGCCTCTCTTATCTTGCCAGGAGAATGAAACTGTTTAGAATGCCTACTGAGCAGAGTTAACGAAGGTTCAGTGAGCTAGTTCGAGTAGTATTTAAAATATGGCCTAGTGCAGTACGTTCTCAGTGGCTCAGCCTGATAGAATTGCACACCCTGTTTTGAGGGTAATTTTTTAAAAGTTGGTTCCCTGTAAATCTTCCTACTTTTAAAAGTGTTGCTTTTCCTCTGTTGTCAAATATGAGGTCCGGATTGGCAGAGAGGAGGCTGCCTCACTAAGGGCTGATGCTCAGTCAGAGTTTTCATGGCACTTGTTCAGCCAAAATGACCTTTTTTTCTAGTCTGGGCAAAGCCCTCTTCTTGAGTCACAAATTAGCCCACCTGATTAAGATCTCTTACAGCTGTTTAAAAATCATGTATCTGTTTGATTTCCTGTTCCTGAAAAACCTTTGGTGGCCTTTTTGGTTTGCCAGTTTGAGCCTGGATGCCTGAGGTGTGTGGCCTGTTCAGCTGTCTGAGAATGGAACTGAGGGAGTGGTGAACTTGGATTAGAGACACTTTGTACCCTTGTCTTTCTTAACCTCTCGTTGAAATTTAGCATATAATCCCATTATGAGTGCACACAATGAACATACAACATTAAATATGACTTTGTTAATGCTTTAAAGATCATGACATTTCCATGTCAGGATTCTGTGATGGGATTTTGTTGTTGTTTGTTTTGAAACAGGGTCTTGCCACAAAGCCAGGATTAGTGCCTCTAATGTACCAGGATTATGGTATATCTGGCAGGATATACCATATATACCATATATATTCTGACATCATAGTATCTCTTAGACTCTGCCAGTTCTTATTATATAATGTGTTGATAAAGAGCCATGTGTGTTTTGAGAAAATTATTTTCCACATATAGACTATGCCTGGATCCTGTGAATTTGCTTACTCAATAATATTTATTTGTAATCTTTAAAAGACATGTGCAGGGTGTTGAATCTTTGGAGTCACTTGATGCCCAATTTTAAGTCTGCACTCTGCCCTGTTTCTGCTCTAAAGAAAGTGGGCTTTGGAGCCATGCCTTCTCATTTCTGTGTGTGTTTGATGATTAGAGATCCTGTAACCCTCTGGCATATTGTGGGAATGTTATCCCATGCTCTTATCCAGTGCAGGAAAGCTCTGATGAGTCTTAAGAGAGAAAATAAATACATTAGTCTTCATTTAGTCTGAGTTCAACATTAGTGAATTAGTAACACATAGTCATTCAAACAGAATCACACATAAAACATAGCTACATATTGAGCAGTTGACAGAAATGTGCCCAGAGGCTTTCGGTGATCTGCTTCTGGTCTCCAGAGGAATGGTTTGTTACTGTCCATTTGTAGTGACTATAGAACATAGCTGCCACAGAGAGTGACAACATACTAGGTTTCCTTTCTAATGTTGTGTATTTTATGTATTTGAAAACAATCAGAGAGAGGGTTTATAGGTTTTACAAGTCTGCTAGCAGTAGTGCACAAAATAATATAAGACCTTGGGCAGGTGTCTCAGTAAATGCACTATTGCCAAGCCTGACACCCAAGCTCATTACCCAGGAAAGAACTGATTTCCACAAATTGTCCCCTGTCCACTACAGGTGAATGTACACATGTACACATGCATGCAGATACAATGTATATGTATACATATATGTGTGTGTGTGTGTGTGTGTGTGTAATCTTTAAAAATTAAGAACTCTAATGAAATCTGTTCATAAAGTAGATTAGGCCCATGTATAGCTAAGCCTTTGAAAACTTTGACCTACTTGACTCCTTCCAGCCTTATTTACCTATTTGTTGGCTTTTAAAGGCTTTTTTGGTTGAGACCACCATGAGTCCATGCATATAAGAATGTTGGATTCCCATGTTTGATTTGTAAGTTGAACAAAATTTAAGATGAATAGGGCCAATAATTCTGTCTCTGAGAAGTAGAAAGGAACATATTGGTTACCCTCTGCAGTCAGATTGGGGGGAAGAATCCGTGGATGGAGGCAATGTGTATTACTTGGCTCCCTGGGAGGAAGACCCAAGGATTGGTCCATAGAAAGGTGTCACAACTTCATAACAAAGGGTTGCTTTGGTGTAGCGGATCCTCTGTAGCCTCCTTGTGCTGATACCATCATCTTACTGAAACCCTGGTGTTGTTTTCACAGGGCTGTCTGGCCTTTAGATCTTCATTCTTGGTTAAGGAAATGACCAACCAGGTAAGATCTGCACTGAGAGGAAAAACTTTAGTTAGTCACTGGCAAGTTCAAGACCAATAGATTGCCTAGGTATATGGTTGGGGAAACTAGTGTTTAATTCTTGTCTTGTTCCCAAAACCTAGATGACTTTGAGTACCTGCTCATTACAGGTTTATATGGCATTAGTAAAATGCACCACACTAAGATTAGTTTATGTGCCTTTGCCACCATTTAGAGAGTAACTGAGGAAGTTTAACAGAATTTATACATAAAAGTAAAAGTTGAAATAGAAGCTAGAACAGTCAATAAGCACCTTTAGGACCAGGGACAAAGCTAATCTATGTGTATGGACTGTGTAGTCTCCTACAACTGCAAAAAAGTAGGTTGCAAACAGGAATCAGCTCCCTCCTGACCAGAGTTGAAGAAAGTGTAACTTACTGGTCTTACTTACACTGGGTTTGGGGGTGGGGCTGGTTTGTTGTAGTCAGGTGTGATGCTGCACACCTGTAGTGGCAACGACACTGGGTGAAACTGGAAGATTGATGCAAGTTTAGTGTAAGCCTTGGCTACATAGAGTTTGAAACCAACCCTGGCTACTTAGAAAGCCCCCACCTCAAAAAACAAGATGAAGAACTGATTTTTCTCTGGTGTAACTATACAAGCCTTTCATGAGTAGGAACCAAGGATTGTGTAGGATGGGCAAGGAAGTAGCATAGTGACTGTCTCACTTGGAGTGCTGGAGGGAGGGAGTGCAAGATAACTGAAATCTGACTCTCTGCTGTTCTGTTTTTTGTAGTACAGTATTCTCTTCAAGCAAGAACAAGGTAAGGAGTCCACCTCTTCAAGCAAACCCTTTTTGTGAAAAAATGTGACCTCTTTGGTTTCTTTACGATTTTATCACACCAACCAGACACTCAGTTCTTTGCAGTATTGGCTATGTAACCCAAAACAAATACACCCAATCAAAAAATAAATAGCTATTTGGGTCTGGTGGAACAGACCTGTAATCCCAGATGATAAAGAAGTTAGATAGGAGGATTGTGAATTCAAGACCAATCTAGACAATGTAATGAGCCCTTGTTTTAATCTAAAAAGCGAAAAGAGGGCTGGAGATGTAGCTTAGTGGTAAAGCACTTGCCTCAAATGTACAAGGCCAATCCCAGTACTACAAAATAAATAAGTAAATATATGAAAGCTAACTAAAAGAAAGGTGGGAGTCAAGTGGCATAATAGAGAACTCTATGATGAGGAAAACTCTTCCACATCGTAGTGCTGAGCTTCCCTGATGCCAGGATAGGAAGAGGCAAGAGCCTGTCTACACTGCTAGGGAGGTGGGCTTCAACCTGGCTCTAACTCAGAATTCACTATGGAGTCTTTACATAGCATCCTCCAATTACAAGTGTAGGAACTCTTTTAGAGGACTCTTGTCTCTCTGTGAAAGGAGAGGGTGAAACAGTGGAAATTCAGTCAGGGCACCTGAGTGTGTGGTGATGCAATGGTGGGAATGGGAGCAAGAGGCGTGGGTCTCAGGCCAGCTGAAGGACTAGCTCCCTAGTGAAAGACCTGCACAGGAGCAGCATTTGTGCATGGACTGGGTAATCCTATTCAATCAGATGGGTTAGAAACAGCTGTGGGAGTTTGTAAGTACCTAATAAAAAAGCTCTTCCACTCCAAATAAGTGACATTTAGGTAGTCCCCCCTAGTTAACCAGTCAGCTGTTCAGGTATGCCAGGCAATAGCTCTGCATAAAGCTAACATCATCCAGGGGGCAATCTTAGCAGGCGTGGGTCTAGTGAGGATTATAAGGAAGCTGTGCAGCATGTGTTACTTAACAGCTGTTTAAATTTAATCCCTTTAGAGTCATGTTTTGGAAAGGTAGCCTCCAAGAATTGTAACCAGGCATAAGTAAAGCTTCTTATACTTATCCTGTTTAATAGATGCATGCCAGCTTTGTAGATTCTACAGTATAGCTCACAAAATGTGTAGCTCCCAGATTTAGACTAAATTGGACTTCAGTTAATATTCTGAGTTTGAATCCTAGCCCTGCCCCTTCTTAGCTTCATGCCCTTGGGTGAGCTACAGGGCATCTCCAAGTCTCCCATTCCCTATTTGTGAAATGAAAATGATCTTTTGAGGGGATGAGGGAAGCCCAACACTAGGGATCAAGTCCAGGGCCTTGCCCATTCTAGTACTCCACCATTGAGCTTTGTCCATAGCTCTTGGTTTTTTGAAAAAAGGATTTCACTTGTTACTCAGGCTTGCCTTGAACTCACTGCCTAGCCTCATGATTCTCCTGCCTCTGTCTCCTAAGTGCTGCAGTTATATGCATACTGTCACCACAGGTATGATCTTGGCAGGACTTCATAAAGGCAGCTGTGATTAAGACAACACTTAGGGAAGGATTAATGTAATAAGTGATTCATTAAGCATAATAAAGGCACTTATTGTAAAAGACATCTCATACCTTTTAGACCACTACTGTTTATAAAACTGTCTCCTGGTTTCCAAAGGCCTCTGAGGTACAGCTCCAGTCAAATGAAGGTCGGTGGTAATGAGAGACTTTCTGCTCACTTTAGTAATTTTGACCAAGTGATTACTGTTCTAGTCTGATTGTCTGATGAATAGCAGACTAATGGATCATTCATTGTATTTGGAGTCTGAAGACCTGTCTCGTTCTCATCCTGTTTCCCTTCTTGTAAACTTGTGTTTTAGGGTGACTAAAACTAAACAAGAACCACTAATTTTTATGTAGTTTCACCCACAAGTCAAGTAAACACTTTATGGGGGCGTATCCAGTGGAACCATGAAGATAGGTAGAAGTGGACATTGTTTCAGAGTTGTCAGCTTGTTTTTCAGCTTTGTTTTATCACATTGAATTTAGGAGTTGTGTGCATAGAAACTTTAAATGAAGCACTTTCCATTCTAGCCCATGATGATGCCATTTGGTCAGTTGCCTGGGGGACAAACAAAAAGCAAAACACTGAAACTGTGGTCACTGGATCCCTGGATGACCTAGTGAAGGTTTGGAAATGGTGAGTACTTCCCCCTTTCAAATCTTGGAAATTTGGGACAAGGGCTTTGCTTCTATAAGTAAAGCATTGATTTTCTGGGCAAGAAAGCAATAGCACCATAGTAGCTTTAGAATAACCACTTATTTTTTCTTGTTATTTGGAATTAAAGCTGTGTGTGGTGAGGAACCCCAAAGTTAAACCTGGCAACATTCTATGTTTAGTTCTCAGGTTTCTCATCTCATTGATCATTTTTTTTTTCTTTTTTTTCTTTTTCTTTTTTCTTTTTTTTTTGATAATATCCAAGGACATAGACGTTCTGATGCCAGTATAGTATATAGAAAGAATCATTTCTGTGTCCCCCCCCCCAGGCATGATGAGAAGCTGGAGCTACAGTGGAGCCTGGAGGGACATCAGCTGGGGGTGGTGTCAGTGGACATCAGCCACACCCTTCCCATTGCTGCATCCAGCTCTCTGGATGCTCATATTCGTCTCTGGGACTTGGAAAATGGCAAGCAGATCAAGTCTATAGATGCAGGACCAGGTAAGAACTTTATACATTGAGGGGAGGTGATAGAAGTCCACAGTCCCTTTTCAGACTTGTTAGGGAGAGAGTATTTCTAGTTCAGAAGTGTAGTCACTCTAATCCAACCCTAATGTCATTGTAATCACACAGGGGTTATACTAAGTGATAAACATATGCTGAAAACAACATTAGACTATTTCAGGCCCAGTTTTGCTGCCAAATGGATTGTAGTGCTATACTTAGGGGAAAACCAAACCAGTTTTTTTGCATTTCAGAATTGACTATTTGGGATTGTGGAGCTGTGCTGGCTATGCCAGTGCTTCTCTACCTGACACCTGAAGAAAGACATTCATTGCCTTGTGGAATCCTCAGGTCCAAATAGTGGTTATCTCTATTAATCATGGCCAAAGTGCCTGGGTTCTAGTGTGTGGTACATAGAGAGGAAGAAACAACTTCATGGATCTTTTTAAAAGTACTGTGGAGCAGTTCTCTTGCTCCTCAACCTCGTTGAGCATTATCTGAGATGATAAGGGACAACTTTAGTGGACTAGATTGGTGTAGAACAAACACTATAACATTTCAAGATTCTTTTTAGCCTCTTGTTCACTTAAAATGCATATGCAGTTCTCATAGCAAAGCCTGTTCTGTTCAGTGAGCAGTGATTTCCAGAGATGCAGATAGCTTGGCATCGCTCCACACACTCCTTTGTGGGTGGATTGTGAAAGAGCTGATCAGGTTCTTGGGGGAGCCAATTCCCCAATTGACTTGCCTCGTTCCATTTATGCTCCTAGCTGCTGTGAACCCTTATATTGCATAGAATGAAGGTTCCAGGGCTTGTTAGGAGTCCCCATAGTCTAGGAACTGAGTACCTCTCTCCTCAGAAGTCTCCTTGACTCTTCCCACTGGAGTCTTTGTCCAGTCTCTTTTGGATCCACCGAATCACGGTTTAAGAGTGTGAGGCTAGAGGGCTGGAGAGATGGCTCAGAGGTTAAGAGCACTGTCTGTTCTTCCAGAGGTCATGAGTTCAATTCCCAGCAACCGTGGTGGCTCACATCAATCTGTAATAAGATCTATGCCCTCTTGTGGTATGCAGGCATACATGTATACAGAGTGCTGTATGCATAGTAGATAAATAAATCTTTAAAATAAAAAGTGTGAGACTGAAATGTGTTTCTGGAAAAAGCCACTTGGATACTTTTCTGGTAACTTCCTAGATGGCTGTCTACACTCTTCTCTGCTTTCATTATTCGTGGAGAACAGGGATCTCCAGCCATCCTGCAAAACCTGTTAGCACCCTGAACATAAGGAGCACTAGAAAGAGAGAATCAGCTCTGTTGCTGCTTTTAAAGAATATTTTTATTACATTGTTTATTTTGTGTGTGTGTGTGTCTAAATCAGAGGACAGTTTGTGGAATTCAGTTCTTCCATGTGGGACTTGAGCTCAGGTCATCAGATTTGGTGGCAAGTGCCTTTGCCCACTGAGCCATCTCTGGCCCCATTGCCACTTTTTAATCTTGGGTACCCGCACCATCTCAAGACAGTGGCGCTGGTTAATGTGTAATTGTTGTGGCCTTATACACATCATATATGAAGAAGTGAGTGCTGCATTGGTTGCAAGTAAAAGGTTTTATATCTGTCCAGCTTGCTTTTTCTTCTACTGTGTTGTAAAAGTTTCTGGGTTGTTTTTGTTATGTCTTAGGGGTTGCCTTGTTTTGGGGTTTCAGTTTCTTGAGACAAGGTCTTACCATATAGCTCAGGCTGGCCTCAAAGTCATGGCTGCTTCTTCTACTCAGCTTCCCAAGTGCCAGTGTTACAGGTGTAAGATGACTGTTATGGAAGATACTGAAACGAATAAAGTGGATGGATGTACTTTGGGGTGGAGAGAATCTGTCAAATAATGAGCAAGCCTTGCTGCTGACAGCTAACTAGCTGAGGGCTTTAGGTAAGTCTGGGTTTACCAAACCTAGGGAAATCAGACTTGCCTTGAAAATGTACCACCACAAAAAGGATAGAAAGAGTGGAGAGAGAAGAAGAAAGTGAAAATAGACAAAGTAAAGCTGGAGGAATGACCCCATGTTTGGCATTCCACCAGGCTGTGGCTGTCCAGCTGCTGACACAAGGAAGAGCAAAGGTGACAGTGTAGAGGCCCCTGAACATCATATCCAAAATGCCCACGGGAAAAGAAAAGCAACTCTTGGTGAGGAGGAGGAGGAACTTAGAACATTTACTCTAACATTTACTTAGAACTTTAGCTGTGGTCCCCTGCTAAAGTATTAAGGTTAAGTCTTAGAGTGTAGGTTTTAAAGAGTGCACATGGTTCTGTTTTGTGCCTGAAGACATCTGGTAGGAAAGGATCTGCATTTCAAAGAAAGTAATAGGGATGTGCCAAGATAACTTGAGTCATTTTATTAAGCTTTGAGAAATGAAAGTTGGGGTTTCTATTAACGATTTTCTCTGTAAATAGCTAATTATAGTAGGACTTTAAAAACATACTTCTTGGGGCTAGAGAGATGTCTAGGCCATTAAAAGCATTGACTGCTCTTCCAGAGGACCTGGGTTCAATTCCCAGCATCTACATGCTGACTTACAACTGTCTGTAACTCCAGTTTTAGAGTACCCAATACCCTCACACAGACATACATGCAGGCAAAACACCAGCACACACAAAATAAAAATAAGTAAATTTTTTAAAATTACTTTTTAAAAAAACAAACACTTCTTTTTGGACATGAAATATATGTGGGCTGGCAAAAGCTGGTGTATTAGGGTTCTCTACAGGAACAGAACTGATAGAACATATATAGTCTTCATTGTTTTTTAAAGTGTTTCTGACTTTCATCCATTTTGTAACACAGATTTGTTCCTTTTTGTTGACACATAATATTCTCTTGTAAGGATATCCCCCTCCTCATTTTGCCAGTTGAACTGTTTATAATATATATATCTGGAGATGAGCATGTAAGTCCCTGTGTACATGCTTTCATTCCTCCCGAGTAGCTCCCAGCAGTGGACTTGTGAGTATTGTGGTGTTTGTTTTTACCTAAGAAACTGTCAAACTGGTTCTCAGAGTGGCTGTCTCATTTTACATTGCCACCAGAGTAGGGAGGTTCTGTTTTCTCATGTCCTTGTCAGTTGTGAGTGTTGTTCAGGTGGTTTTTATTTAAAAAACAAAAAACAACTTAAGAATCTTTTCAAATTTAAACTTGGTAAAGAAAAGAATTAGAGTCTTTGCAGAATGGTTCCCTGACTTAGGACACTTTCTCCAAGTTTAAAGACTAGCATTTGGTCAAACTATAGTTTGTAAAACTAAGGTCGAATCTTCTCACTGGGCGTTCCCCTTTGCTTCCTTTCCAGTGGACGCCTGGACTTTGGCCTTCTCTCCTGACTCCCAGTATCTGGCCACAGGAACTCACGTGGGGAAAGTGAACATTTTTGGTGTGGAAAGTGGGAAAAAAGAATATTCTTTGGACACTAGAGGAAAATTCATCCTTAGTATTGCATATGTAAGGAAACCTGTCTGTCGAGGCGCTTTAGCTGTGGTCCCCTGCACAGACCCTGCAGTGTTCATTAGCTGCTGTCTTTTGGTGTGGTTTGCTGGCAGCCAGTTAGATGTGAGGCCAGCAAAGCAAGGCGGGTTGTATTCAGAAGGGACAGGCTAACCAATTTGTCTCAAATCATCCATCTCTCCCCACAGAGTCCTGATGGGAAATACCTGGCCAGCGGAGCCATAGATGGGATCATCAATATTTTTGATATTGCAACTGGAAAGCTTCTGCATACGCTGGAAGGTACCCACAACCCCTCATCCTAGTTTGTGCTCACTGGATGGATATCAGGTCACAAAGCAAGAATGCTTCTTTTATTAAAATACTAATTATATTGTTTTTATCTCTGTTGGAAAACTGAAGTACCACTATGTCTTAGACATAGCACTGTGGTTTTAATCTGGACACAATAGTTCTTTTTTAGTGATGTTGATTAGTTTTTATTTATGTGTGTTTTCTCTTTTTTCCTCATGAGCTTTGTGATTGCAAGGCTGTCCATCTCCACACTGGTGGCTTTGGGAGGAGGACAGAGCAGGAGACAGAGATTGCTCCTCTTGTGTCTGATTTTGAATTATAACCAAGTGCATGTATTACCTTAATTTACCCTTTACCCAACAGCAAAAGATTTGGTAGAGAAATAATATTATTGGACCTTACAAATATTATTTGTCCAACTTTACAAATCAGATGCAGCCTGTATTTCCATATTTGGCCATATTTGTAGGGCGTTGGGGGGGGACTGTTGTTGTTTTGTTTTGAGACAGGGTTTCTGTGTAGCCCTGGATGTCCTGGAATTCACTATGTAGACTAGGTCTGCCTCTGTCTCTGCCTCCTGGGTACTGGGATTAAAGATTTATGCCATTGCCACCCAGACAGGTCTTTTGTTTTGTTTTAAGATTTTGTGTATATGCGTGTGCGTGCACATGCAAAGCACAGAAGCCAGATTTCAGATCGCTTGGAGCCAGAGTTACAGATGGTTGTGAGCTTCCAGCTGTGGGTGCTAGAAACTGTACTTGGGTTCTCTGTGAGAGCAGTACATGCTTTTGACCACTGAGATATCTCTCCAGCCCCCCAATTGTTTTGATTTGAATTTTAACAGATTATATTGAGACCTAGCTGATTAGAGAACTAAGAAGAAATGGCTACAGGAAAGAGGTTGGAGGCCTGTGGGAGTGGAGGAAGGGTCTAGTCAGTACCTTCTTCTCTGACTGAAGCTCCAGGGTTGTTCCAGCTCAGTGACTAGTGGTCATTAAAAGGGCACAGTTAGAAAACTTGTGTGGTGGAGCTGCCAGCTTAACAGCTTTTCTGAATTGCAGGCCATGCGATGCCCATTCGCTCCTTGACCTTTTCCCCTGACTCCCAGCTCCTCGTCACAGCTTCAGATGACGGCTACATCAAGATCTATGATGTGTGAGTTACCTTTCCAAGAGTAAAGGTCTCAGCAAGTAACAGCTTTTTCCCTTTACTGATAGGAGCCACTCTAGGAATTTGTGCCTGCTCTATGGCTATAAGTCAGCTCAGATGCTTTGAACTCCCAGTCATTTCTCTCCCAGCCAGCCCCTCCTGCTAGAGCTTAGAGTGTGTCCCCAAGGTCTATGTGGAGGAAAAGTACATCTATCTAACCCTAGAAGGATTAGACACTGCTGCTCTTTTTCAGGGGTCAGGTGGTTTGGCTCCCTGATATTCAATTCTTCTGGGTAGATATGTAGCATACAGCTGAGGAAATGGAGCTCTGGCTATAGCTGGCCTTGGGTGTCTCTTCCAGGCTCCTGCTTTCAGCAGATATGCAGGCTGACTTCTGGTTAGGGAGCCCCAGGGTAAGCTGCCCCATAGGTCTAGGTGGGGAGCCTCTTGAGGTATGTTCTGGACTGACGGCGTAGGAGTGAGCAGATTGCTCTTGTGTGCTCAGCACCACCATTGAGGGCCCATACTGCTCTCCCTTCTGTTGTGTTCCTCCCTCCCACCTTCTCATTCCCCCGCTGTTGCCAGTATATGCCAGTATATTTGTGTTGTCCTGGGTTTCATTATGAGTCTCCATGCTAAGTGTGCCTCTAGTTCATCATTCTCCAGTTCTTTTCTAATCTGTCTTACACATTTCTCACTCCAATATGTCCTTTGGGCCTCTGTGAGCTGTTTGAGAGTTGAACTCTGCGATCAGAAGGGCATGCTGCTTTTGACATTAGTGGTGAGAGGATTCTGGGGCCACAAGAAGAGACTCTCAACATTGCATGTTGTGGGTGTCTCTCTTTGTTAGCTTTCATTGATGCTCTTCCATGACTTCCCAAGCTGTTGAGGCAACATGACATAGTGCCTCCACTTAGCTGGCTGAAGAGGTGGTAATTGCCCTAGCAATAGTGAACCTCACGATTTCTTACTCTCTGCACTTCCTGAGGCTTGTTTTTAGAGGCAAAATTGCTGACCTCAGGCCCAGGTTGCTTCTCCTGGCATAGGCATTTGGTTTCCTGGGAGAGATGGGTGGCTCAGCAATTAAGAGCACTTGCCAGTCTTGCAGAGTTTAGTTCCCAGCACCCATGCTGGGTGCTCACAATTACCTGTAACTACAGCTCCAGGGGTTCCATGTCTCCCTGTGGACTTCATGGGCACCTGCACACAAGTGGAACACACACATAAAATAAAAATCTTTTTCAAAGTAAAAGAAACATGGAAATAGTTGTAGGAATTGGGACTAGCTTGGTTTTTTGCTTTTTTGTTTTTGGCTTTTTAAGGTATTTTTTTGGTTTTGATTGGGTTCTGTTGTTTTATTTTTGGTTTTGACAGGGTCTCACTATCTAGCACTAGCTGGCCTGGAACTTGATATGTAGAACAGGCTGGCCTCAAAATCACAGAGATCTACCTTCTTCTGTCTCTCAAATGCTGGGATTAAAGGCATGTGCCACCATACCCACCTATCTGCCTTGTTCTTGACCAGGTCACAGATGTTCTGTTGAGCCACATATCCTATGATGGGCACATCTCGATGCTTTCCTCTCATCATGGGAAAGGTTCTACTGCAGGAGGGTCTGGCTGGCCTGCTCACCCCTGCTACTCAGTCTCTTCAACTTGGAGTTGGCTGAGCCATCTCTGCAGCCTCCAAGCTCTTGATATTTTTAACTTAATGCTGCTATAAAAATGTGTCTGGTGTTTAATGCTACTTCACTGAAAATGGAATTTATGACATATGGCCATTCTGATATCACACTCAACCATGTGAGTGGAGCTAATAGTTCATTAACCAATTCCGAAATTAGAGTCCCCTAAATTAGCATCTCCATTCTGTTTGAATCTTTCTTCTTCCAGACAACATGCCAACTTGGCTGGCACACTGAGTGGCCACGCATCCTGGGTGCTGAACGTCGCGTTCTGTCCTGATGACACTCACTTTGTCTCCAGGTACGTAGGAGTCATAAATTTCTAAAGTGGTTGGCAGGGGAGAGCAGTCTTCTGATAATGTGCCTTAAAATTGAGAGAGTACATTACATGACTTTTTAATACCCTGGGGCTTGAGAGATGGCTTAGCAGTATAAGAGCGCTGGTTAGCCACTCTTCGATTTCCTGCACCCACATGGTGGCTTACAACCATCTGAAACTTCAGTCCCAGGGGATCCCACCCCTGTTCTGGCCTACTAACATACAGACAGAACGCTCATACACATAAATAAAATTAAAAACTTTTTATAGTAATAAAATAAAATTCAAGTTTCCTGGGGCCAGGCATGGTGACACAATCCTTAATCCCAGCCCTGGAGAGGTAGAGGCAGGTGGATCCCTGTGATTTCAAGGCCAGACTAGTCTACATAGTGAGTTCAGAGCCAGCTAGATCTACGTAGAGAGACCCTGTCCAAATAATAATAATAATAATTCAAGTTGCCTTTGTTTACTTTAGCTTTTAAAGGGCTTGTTATTTTAATGAAGTTGGTTGATCTTAGCTTGATCAAAGATATTCTTATAAACTATTGAAATGTTAGATTTTTCTTAAAAGTCTGGTTTTCCACTTACTGTCGTGACATATCCTGGTGTTCCAAGAGGAACTTAGGAACTGAAGATCTTCCTATCAAATGTGTTTATGGATGCCAGTGATATCCAAGGCCCTGGAGACTGAGGAGGTTCAGAAGCGTGGGATGGACAGCTGAAGGGCATTGCTCAGTGGTTCTGAGAGCTTTTGACACTTCACCAGACCTCCTCCTCATCCAGACAAAGGGTAGATAGGCTTGAAGCTCCTGATGATGGTGCTTGGCAGGCAGGCCAAGCTGATGAGGAGAATCTTGGCCGCCTTGTGAGAAGATGGTCAGCTGTACCCAAGCTCTTGTCTAGCCACAAGGAGGCCTCTAAGGGTAGAAGTGTGTAAGTCTGCAAAGGAGTGCACATTAAGTCAGTGTTCTGCTTCTAACCTTTGCTTTCGAAACAGTTCATCTGACAAAAGTGTAAAGGTTTGGGATGTTGGAACAAGGACCTGTGTTCACACCTTCTTTGATCACCAGGATCAGGTATGAATAATAAGCATGTAAATTCTTGTGTTTAGCTTGCTGGCCACATTCCTTTACTAGCCTTTCTGTTGGAGTTAAGAGTGGTAGAACCCTGGGACATGTTAGCCCTGTGACTCCAAGGCATGTCCACTACACATGCCAAAACACACAACTGACCACTTCCTTCTCTGAAAACATACACCTAAGCCTGGGGCCCTTTTCTGCATACTTCTACGGGAGCCTCCCTCTTTGGGAGGTTCCATTGCTTAACATAATCATCATTTACATTTTTGTTATTATCCAGGAATGTGATTTTTTTTTTTAATATAGAGGTTACAGCTTGTTTTCTTGTAATGATAGTGCTAAGCCTGGTTTCCATCTTAGGAAGACTGTCTTTATCTTTGTAAGGGAAATGGGAAATGGTAACATTGTAGATCCTTCTTGGTCCTTACTCTCCTAAGACTCCCATGAGGAGTCATAAAATGCCACCTCTGAGCTGAGGGCAGTGACACATGCCTGTCACCCAGCACTCTGGAGGCTGAGGCTGGAAGATCTGTAGTGGCAGAATACTACTTGCCTGGCCTCAGCCTTAACCTTCCAAAAGGAAGTGGATTCTAATTCAATCAGTGCCACATGGGCCTGAGAATCCATCCTCTTTTCCCCCTTTCTGACCAAGGGGAAGGGATTTTTTAAAGCAATCTTGCACTTTAGCCCAGACTGGCCTTGAACTTCCTGCAGTCCTCCTGCCTGAGTTACAGGTACGAACCACCCTGCTTGGCTGAGACTACTTGTAACTCTCCTGCTTATTGCCCTTATTGCTGTTCTTAGCAATTCTTAAGTAGCAGGGGTTTAGACTCTAGAGGAAAAAGGAACTAGGCAGCATAAAAATTACAATGCTCAGAGCGACAAATCACCCTTAATATATTTGAATGCTTTGAGATCTTACCTATTTTTCTTTTTGAGTGCATCTTACTGTAAACTAGCATAATTATTTATGCAGTTTTGTATTTATCTTAAATTATCGCAGTGAAATTGAATCTTGGTAGTCCACCATTGACCCTAAGCATTTTTCTTAGTAAGTCCTAGTTGTGTTCTTATTGTGGGGCTGTTGTGATGGTGTTTCAGAGAAAGATGTTTGGAATGTCAGTGAGGTCATAGCCTGAAACCAAGGCTAGCCTCCAATCTGAAGATGAGGATGACAATCTAACCACACAGAATAAGTGTGAAGCTGCTAATTCAAGCACAGACCAAAAAAATCCGTGGTGCTCAGTACCGTGTTGTCTACTAGTACTCAGTACTGTGATGTCTGGATCTCAGTACCGTGTTGTCTAGTTCCCAGGCCTTTGAGAAAGGGTAATGATTGACCATGTTGGGGTGGGTGGTAGACAAAGGAGGTGGGTGAGTGGTTTGCAGTTTTGCCACAGGCTTCTCCTCCTGAGAGCATAGTGCTGGGCCCAGGCAGGAATCACCTTATGGCATTAGGTAACCCCTGGATTCTGAACCTTTGAAAGGATAATAGATTGTTGTATTTTAGAGGGGGGGAGTGCTATTATACCACAACAGCCAGAGAAAGTGGCCTAGTTAGAGGCTAGGCTCCATTGTGGCCTCATGCTAGTCTAGATTCAGAAGAAAGGAACAGTGTTGATTCCTTGAGCATTCCTCACCCAAAATACAGGAATTAGAATGCTTTTTGTTTATGTTTCTATTGCAGGTTTGGGGAGTAAAATATAATGGAAATGGATCAAAAATTGTGTCTGTTGGAGATGACCAGGAAATTCATGTCTATGACTGCCCAATTTAAACACCAGCATCTTCCGGGCCATGCCACAGAGTATGCAGGGTTGATCATGACATTCCTTACCCTCCTAAGCACACTTAAAATACAGCATATATTGTAGTAAATTTTGTAGATACACTATAATAAGTGTTTCCTGTTTTATTGGAAATGCTGCTCCTATTTTAATGTAAATAAAGCATTCTTAATGCAAGCACCTGCATTTGTGAACACGCTGCTCTTTTCCTTGACCATGTCCCTGGAGAACAGTGTGAACTAGCAGTTAGTGACAGGGAGGACATGCCTGAGGGACCAGAGATCCAGGCACTTACTGTTCCTGGGTGACTTGTGATGATGTGCCCAGAGCTCCCTCAGGCTGTCCTGAACACACCACCCTATATCAGAGTGGAGTCTGAAGAAAACATGCTGGGGGCAAAGGAACATTCTGGCTCTACTTGCCTGGGGGTCCTTGTGTGTCATATATTTAAAATGCCCCCTCTTGCACACCCTCATTTCCTCATTCTTTCGGAGAGGTCTGCCTTAACTATTTCAGACTCAAGACTGGCAGACAGGGCTGAACATTGCTGCCTCGGACTAGAGTTCCAGCACCTTCACCTCTTCTGCAGTCGCCTCCAGACTGGGTCTGCATGGTAATGGGGAAAGGTTTAAGACACTAACACCCTGGTGCTTGCTGCTTCTTGCTTGCCAGAACTGTGTGCCTGGTCTTCAGGCCCGCTCTGTAGAACAGTCCATGCTGGATTATTTCCCACCTCCACCTTGCTACCCCCCTACAGCTACCCTGTCCTCAGTGTCTCCTCCTCAGAGGAGGAGACACCCTCACAGTTCGGAGGCGCCTCAGAGTCCTTGTCCCGTTTTCTTCTGCTCTTCCCCACTATTGTAGCTCTCCACCACAGTCACCCCTGACCTCTGCATTCATCCCATCCCCCAAATGAAAATTCCCCAAGAGAAAGTTCATTCCTTCTGTCAACCAAAGGGAGGTAGTCTGGCACTTAACACTTGAGTCTCAAGAAAAGAAAAAGCAGAGCCATTTGTCTCTTACACCAGCTCAGTTTTAATTGAAAGTGACAAATGTACAGGGGGGAAGGTTAAGCAACACCCTGCAGATTTGTAACAAGGAAGAGCTGAGTAGTTTTATCCCATCACAAGCGAAATAGTAGCCCTCCAGCAGTGATTAGAACCTCAGCACAGAGACAACACCCTGGAGTTGTGGTCCGTTTATAAATTGGGCTAGTTGGAAGAATCAGTTTTAAGTCTGTCCTGGCCAGTGGTCAAAGTGGGCATAGGTAGACTCTCTGTGCTTTGAGCAAATTATGATCCACTAGCCAGCAATGTTTTGGGGGAGCCTGGTCCCGCTAGCTGACTTCCCTGACCAGCCTTGGGTTTGATCTGCCCTTTGATCCTCCTAGGGGAGGTTCCTTGTTTGCATCAAACTCTGGTACCATAAAAACCAAATTAAGGGTGGATCTGACAGGTCAGCCCAGCAGCTTAAAAAACAGGGTGTTTAACTTCATTAGTAGAAAAGAAAGTAGTAGTAATGGCTAGAGGCTGAGGTAGCCTTTATTTAAAGTGCAGTCTACCTGCCAGGAATAAAGTAGTAACTAGTACCCATCCCAAGCAGCTGTCGTTGTCAGTGGTATTCATGCCAGCTAACTAGAACTTGGTTAGTTCAGTTCTTACCAAGGATCACAAGCAGGAAGCCCTTTGTAGTATGGCTGTGCAGTGAGCGGAACTGGCCTTTAGGAAGGAACTGTCTGGAGAATGTGAAAATACTGAGGGGTTCTGTGCCATTGCATACCCTTAAGTCATCTGGAGACACTAGGCGGCTGTGCTGGGGGCTAAACCACCAGCATTCTCCCTTGGGTGCTTCCGCAGTACACAGAGGTGGCCAGGGACATGGGAGGGTTTAGCCTTTTTTAGGGTAAGCACTTTGGTGGGACAACATTGCAAAGGTTGTCAACAGATAATCATTAAAACCACAAAGAACGAGGTGCGGGGTCACAGGCAAATGGCTTTATTGGCTTGTCATTTAAAATGGGTTTGTCATCACAGGGCTTGGAAAACTTCCAAGACAGATAGCTAGACAAAGCCCTTTCTAACCGCTCAAGGGGACAGAGCAGTAGGAGCTAGACTGGCCCTGCAGCTTTTGAGTGCACCCTACTCAGTGTGAGCAGGCATGCTGGGCCAAGTGCAAGCCATACATGTGCTTTTAGAATTCTAGAGTCTAGACTCAAATATTAGCAGACCTGAGCTTATACCCTCAGTGACTTTGCTAAAGAAGGAAGGGGAGAAAAACCACAGATTAGAGATGGGCCAGATACCCACCCTTCTTGGCCTTTGTTAGGGGCCAAGTGTGGCTACCTGGGCCTAATGTGGAACTGAACCATGGCGAAGCCACTAAGAAGCACAAAGGGTCAGTGTGGTACTAGCATCTCCAGAGTATGTCCTGAAAGTACAAATGAACAGATTCCATATGCAGACTAGACATGATTGAACTTAAAACATTTAAATATAAATCAAGCTGTAACTTAAGTTACAACCAGAAGAGAAACAAGAAAACCCCAAAGACAACTCAGCAATGGAGACTGCTGAACACACAGGACACCCCAAACACGAGGCTATTAAAGCGATGCCATTTTCATTGTGCCAAGTTTACATTCATCATGTACTAGTCCGACCAGGCCATGCTACATGGTGCCATCATGCTGTCTGGCATTGCACACCAGCACGGGGCCCATCGTCATCCTCTTCATACGCCTCCCTGTGTTGGCGCCAGTTCTGCTCGTTGGGATTGAACTCCTTCAGTTCCACCTGATCCATGTCATCCGTGATCCTCACCTTCTGCCTAGGGGGAAGCAGAGCCTCCAGCTGAGATAACTTCTCCTGAGAAAGCCAGTGTTTGTCAGGGAAAACAACCTGCAGAAGTAAGCACACAGGACATGGGGTTTCTTGGCTTTCCAAAGTCAAGGCAGTTGCTGGTGTATCTCATAAGAATAAATGCTGCACTTACTAAAAACTGTATGATGAGCATCCCTTTCTCCAGGGGAGCTTTGTAAATGGGCATTCCCTCGTTGCGCACACATTTCAGGTCTCCATGCTTTATCACCTCACCTGCCACAGAGAAGGGTCCGTTATGAAAAAGGAAGACAAAGGGAGCCTGGAGAGGGTAACCTCCTTCTAAGGAGAGCTAGGGTGGGCTCTAGTGGCCCTGCAGTGATGGGCAGAGGAGAAAGTGCTATCCCTGTTGGGCACTGAGCAGGGAATGGGACAGGACTATCTGGCCCACATCAGGAAGGCAGCAAGCACACTGGGACCTCTAACATAATGTAGAATGGTTTAAAATCAGGACCCCTCACCTGGCCTCCAGTGGGGCCAGTACCTGCCTATCTGTCTCTTCAAGTGATTATGGATGTTCCTAACAGACATGGTGACCACTGCTCACAGGTTCAGGCAGAGCCTAGAAAAGGATTCACGGAGTGTCCCAGCTTCCTACTCAATGAACAGCTTCCTGAGGAAGGGCCTCCCTGGAGGGTGTCAGGTGGCCCCTTTCCTGATCACAAAGCACTTGCTCTACTTCAAGCTGGTGAGCAGGGATATTTCCCATACCACATGCTCCGCCTTGTCTATATTGGCAAGATCTCTAAAGGCATCATGGGAGGTTAGAACCTGGGGCACTTAGACTACTCCCCTAAGACTAAAAATGTTATTGCCCATAGGCATGGAAGACATCACGGACAAAAAGGTGTCTGGAAAATGTGCCCTTCAGTCATGAAAGGCTGGGCTGTAGCTCAGTGGTTCAGAGGCTGTCTAGTATGTGCACAAGGTCCTATGTTCAGTCTGCAGTACCATAAAACAGAGATGAAAATTGACAAGAAAAAGGAATGTTCAGAGAAGATGGGGAAGGGATAAAGGAGGCTAAAGACTGACTTACTCAGCAGTAAGTTCCTCTCTAGGGGGAACATCACTCTACACAAAGTGGAATTTCTTTCACAGAAACTTCTGAAGTTCATCAGTAGTTTTAAAATACATAGTGTGCCAATGTACTCACTCTGTGCACTTCTGAAGTTCATCAGTAGTTTTAAAATACATAGTGTGCTATATTAGGGGGTCACGACTCACCACTGTAGGATGGCAGTGCCAATGCCCTCTATAATAGGGGGTCACACCTCATCACTGTAGGACGGTAGTGCCAATGCACTCTATATTAGGGGGTCATGACTCACCACTGTAGGATGGTAGTGCCAATGCACTCTATATGAGGGGGTCACGACTCATCACTGTAGGACGGTAAGTGACTGCTTAGCTGAATAGGCACAGGTTTCTGGGCTTCTGTGCTGTTAGTGGAGTTGTTTGGAAATACTCTTTCTGTGTGTTTCAACAGGTGACACTTAATGCTGTTCCCCAACCCAGCTCCCAAAGCTGTCTTGGAACCCTGAGACCAAGCCGTACGGGAGAAAAGGGAAAAGCCCTAGCCATCTCTGCCAGAGACACCTCCCTGCTTTAATCAACCATGAGTCCTCAAGAGGTTCAACAGTGAAGGAAAGGGAGAAAAATGGAAGAGAAACCAATAAAAAGGGAGAAAAGGAAAGACTGAGACATGCACACATACACAATACCCAAGGAAATCCCCAGCAGGGTTTCTAGATGTCCTGCCCCTTCTTCCACCTAAGCAAGGAAATGGGTTTCTAAGGGTTTGTTTTCCCTCCCTTTAGGGCTCCTTCCCCCAAACCCCCACTTCTGTTCTTGACTCCCATGTTCCCCAGGCTGAGATCAGGAAAGGTACAGGGAATGCTCTCTGCAACAGGGCCCTGTCCCAGGGAACTCTGCCAGGATGACCTGAACTCATACTATCCACCCTAGGTCAAAAATGGGCTTTTCCAAAGAAGTCACACAAATGCTGCCAGCCCTGGCTCTCAAAATGGCTAGAGTCTGGGTTGTGACAATGTTTGCGGTCTGAGACACACCACCAGACCCAGTTCTGTTCATAACAAGTGCCCTAAGGCCTTGTGTGAATCACAGTCCTTCAACTTTATACTTCAAGTGACTGGAAGGACTGGGCACCTGGGAGGGCTGTGGAGTGACAGGAGGGAGTGGCACCTGGGAGGGCTGTGGAGTGCAGCCTATAGAAAGGCGTCCAACTTTAAACCTTCACACCGATCCCTGACTAAGTATATGTAAGTATACCCATATATGCAAGCACACCACAAATGGAAGAGCAAATGGGGTAAAGGTTAGTGGCAAATCTCATATTGGTGGATGGACCTTGTATGTTTTTATCTCTACAACTTTCTGTAAGCTTGAAAAAATGTTTGGTTCTTGTTTGTTTGTTTTTGTTTTATTTTCTATTTTTTATTTATATTAGGAACAAGCTTGTTTTACATGTCAATCCCATTTCTCTTGTTTTTGTTTTTTGAGACAGTCTCATTCTTTTTGGGGGGCAAGGTTCAAGGCAAGGTTTCTCTGTGGCTTTGGAGCCTGTCCTGGAACTAGCTCACAGAGTTCGAGACCAGCCCCCAACCCCCAGGCCCCAGGCCCCATCATTAGCAAACCTGCCTCTGCCTCCAGAGAGCTGGGATTAAAGGCATGGGCCACCACCACCTGGCTGAGACAGTCTCATTCTTACAGCTTTCTGTAAGTTTGATCTTTGCTCAAGCTCCACATGCTGTACTTACAGGCCTGCACTAGCACACCTGGTTTATGTGATTCTGGGGACTAAACTTAGAGCTTCGTGAGTGCTAAGCAAGCACTCTACTACTAACTGAGCTACATCCCCAATACATATGCATGCACACCCAGTCTCCATTGAAATAGCATCTTGCCAGCACTCGGGAGGCAGATGCAGGTGGATCTCTGAGTTCAAGACCAGCCTGGTATACAGAGTGAGTTCTAGAACAGCCAGGACTGTGTAAAGAGAAACTCTGTCTAGGAAAGGAAAGGAAGAAAGGAAAGAAAAAAATGAAGGGAGGGAGGGAGGGAGGAAGGAAGGAAGGAAGGAAGGAAGGAAGGAAGGAAGGAAGGAAGAGCCCAGGCTGACTTCAATCTTGCACTCTTTGGCTCTAGTATACTGAGTGCTGGGATTATGTGCATACTCCACCATGCACATAAACTTGAAACTCAGGCTTTTAAAAATCATAACTTATCAGTTTAGAAATTCTATCTCATTTCCTATCATCTCCAGCAAAGGAGGAGTCAGAGAGAGGTGACAGGCAAGACTGGAAAGAATAGAGTGGGGGCTGGGGGATGGGCAGAGGCAGGGGGCTCCTGGAGGCTGGCCACCGAGGCAAGTGCTCACCTGCCCCACAGGACTTCCATCTTCTCATCAGCTCTCAAGGCCTGTGCTGCAGGCTTATCAGCCATTATTGTATCCCCCAGCCCCCATCATTGGCAAACTTGCCTGTGGCGAGACCCCAGGCACTTAGATTGCTTAGCTTCTTCCATGCGATGCAGACATCTTGGCTGTGCACAACTCTGCCTTTGTCACTAGCCCAGCCCCAATTCTCAGTCCCTTCTATATACAGGTGCTCTAGAGCCTTCGCAGACCCATAACTTGTGTAAACATCAGCCTTCCTAAATGCTGAGAGCCTGGTGTTCATGCAAATGCTGGGAGTCTAAGCCTGGGGACCTGGAACCCCTTTTCAGCCCAGAGACAGCCCCATGGTGTGTGCAGTTAGTTCCTGTTGAAGCCTCTCAAGGTAGCTCACAGCTAATGTTCCCCCTGACCCCCATCCCGGCCAAAAAATGCTATTTGAAAACGTTTTCATGTAACAGCTCAGACATGTAACAGCTCAGAAACCACAGGAATAGACAAGAACCAGCTCTGACCCCACTTAATGGAAAAGGCCTGTTGTCAGTGGGTTCTGTTAACAAATGTGTACATTTTAAGCTTAATTGGGAGATTCTAGATACAATATCAGACCCAGCAGATTCTTACTTGAGGGTCCTCTTCCTGCTTTAGGAGAATTATTAAAGAAATTCATAATATTCTCCAGTCACGTGAGGAAACTTAACAGCATGAGGCTGATGAGATGTGCATGGGGTAAAGAGACTGGCTGAACAAACCTGATAACCTGAGTGGGATCCCCAGAACTGAAGACAGAGGACAGAATCAACTCCCTAAAGTTGTCTGTCCTCTGCCCTACGCACATATATACAATACGGTATATGCTAAGAAATTAAATTTAGGGGCCAGAAAGATGGGTTAGCAGTTAAGAATAGGTACTGTTCTTAGAGTTCAGGACCAGAGTTCAGCTGCCATGTCAGGTGACTCACAACTGCCTGTAATTACAACTCCAGGAAGATCCTCTGGCCTCCACCGGTACATTTACACAAGCGCACACACCCACACAAGGACATATACACATATGCATAATTAAAAATAAAATATACCTTTAAAAGAGTAAGATGACTTCGTTATTTAAGAAGATTTAGAGAGTAGCAAGCTGTGATTGTGAAGCCAGGCCACTGGGCATGAACTGTTAGACCAACGTGAAGAAAGGGAGGGTGGGGCTTACCTGACTTGGATGTAATAATGAGGACTCGATCATCCAGCGTTTTTATTGTCTTCTTGAAGCCACAAAGAGCTTCAGAAAGCTGAATTTTCATTTTCATGATCAAATCATGGCCTCGTCTCTGAAAGACACTATGATCCTTCTGATCAAGCACAATTATGACATCACCAGGCTCCAGCTCAGGCTCCTGATCTCCTTCTCCATGAAACAGTATCTTTTGCCCATCCTTCATACCTATGGAACATCACCCTTCGGATTAGCCGCTTCTCACATCCAGAGCTCAGAGCTTCTGAAGGCACAGAGACCTTTGGGGTTCTTAACTCATTAGACCTCCCAACCTCCCTTGGGCATGGGGTTGGAGGAGTAGCTGGGATAATTGCCAAGCAAAGACTTAACTGCCACCACCAGCTGAGTCAAAGGTGAAGCTGGGAGAGGGCAAATTAGAGTCCACATCTGACCACACCACGCTCCTCAGCCCCAGGTGCTGGGGTGCTACACTAAGGCCACACACCTGGAGGTCACCACCCACTTCAGGCTCTGTGGCCTGAAGCTGAGAGAATGTTGGTGTACAGATACAAGGTGAAGGCGGGTTTAAGGTCTTCCAGCAGCAGATGGCTTGATTTTGGGCTCATCTGATGTATGATGTATTTGCTGGATCAGAAAGTCACAGAATCAGGAGTTTTGGGAAAACAGAAGTGGGCCTTAAGATGATGGCACCCAAGGAAAGAGCTACAGCTGATAAAATACATTTCATTATAGGTGCTGCTAACAATTGAACTTACATATTTTTAAAATGCTTTGACTTCTACATTTAAAAATAAGGACAGGTTACTTGGGAAAAAGTTTTTGCTTGTGTTTCAGACCAATATGGTTTGATGACGCAAGACTCCCTGAAGCAGTATCCCAGGTGATCCAACATCTAAAACTGCTGAGATGATACAGTCTTACAGACTACAAAAACAAGGACCTGGCCAGGTTTCTGTGTTTTATCATGATCCCCATGTTATGAACATTGCCCCCAACCAGCAGGAAGCACTTTGGAATGAGTGAAATTCCCAAATATTGTTTATAAATGTTTGTTTTCATTTTTAAAAAAAAGATGATGGCACCAGATAAAACAACAAGGAGAGGCACTGCGCTTGGGAGAGTCTGGAGCAGCAGAGGGTCCAAAAAAACCTTTAAAAGCTTGGGCAGCCCAAAAGCAATAAAAGCTTTTGGGATGAATGCTTCAAAAGATTCCTAAAGGATGTGTTGAGAAGGAAGGCGAGGGCAGCTGAACAATCCTGAAGTTAAGGCTTTCAGAGCATTGGGGAAATGTTGAAAAGTTTTTCTGTGCCCTCACTGGTTCTTCCTCAGGCCAGGAAAGGTCATAGGAGGATGACCTGGAAAGGGACTTCTGGCAGCCCTTGTCTTGCAAACATGAGCCACAGCTGCATCCCTGACACCTACCCTGTGTGCGCCATGATTGGTGGAGTGGGCCCTACAGTGCTAACTACGCAGCAGCCTCACCTTTCTCCACGTGTACCTCGATAATCTTCTTCTCCCGGACAACTTTGGCACCGCTGCAGTTCTCGCAACGGTCCTTGGGGTTGATGCGCTCGCCCTGGCCCTTGCACTCGATGCACACAGTCTGGATTTGCTGCACCATGCCCGGCCCAATCTGCTGGATATGGATCTGCATGCCCCGCCCCTTGCACATAGGGCACTTCTCCACGGACCCCTTCTTCCCACCAATGCCTGTGGAGTGGGGAGATGACCAGCAGGAGAGCCATGTTCCTTTCAGCAGGGAACCCCCTATTCCACTGGGCCCTGTGCTTACAATTCTAAAGTTAGGAAAGCAGTGTGGGGATGTGTAGGAGAGTAATCAAGCAAATCTTATCTAGATGTTAACATCTAGCTTCCAGGCGCTAACCCATGCCACAGGCACACAGCACCTGGGCCACAGGGAACTACAGGACACATGTTACAGGTGCAGGACACCTGGGGCTTCAGGGAACTACAGGAAACAAGCCTTGTCAGCGCAGAGTATCAGCTTGACTAGCTCTCTGTGGGACAACATTCATGTTAATTATATTCATATAAATAAGGCTTTACAGGGACACAGGCACATTCACTCATGCACTGTGATGGCAAGAGAAAGTCTAAGATGTTTGCTGTCTCACCCTTCACAGGAAAACCCTGCTAACTCCTACATTAGGAGAACTGTCCAGATTTTGAAACTTTTTAGAATAGATGCCAACATACTGAATAGATGTTCTACCCAGAAAAATATAGACATTCAAAGAGATGTGGCTCAGGGTTCCCTGTTTGCAAACCCTGCTTGATCCCCACATTTGAAAAGATAATTTTTTTCCCTCTGAGCTAGGAAACAAGTAGAAACAAGATATCTGAACTATGAAAGTCATTACAAAATGAGTTTTTACCTTCACATTTCTCACAAATTATATTTTTCTGGAGGGCCAGTTTCTTAGTGACTCCATTATATAAGTCTTCCAGCGTTACTGACAGCTGGTGTACAACATTCTTGCCTGCAGAGGGAGAAAGAGCCAGTTACTGGGCTAATCAGACCACTACCTTACACTACACCACACGACCCTTATGGAGTCCCTGTTGTAGAATATTAAAGATGTGTTATATTTGTTTATGCTGTGGAATATTTGTTTAATGATGCAAAGATGTGTTGCATTCTTTTATGTTGCATTTGTTTAACTCTGTGAAGCTGTGTTACTTTGCCTGCCTAAAACACCTGATTGGTCTAATAAAGAGCTGAATAGCCAATAGTGAGGCAGGAGAAAGGATAGGCGGGGCTGGCAGGCAGAGAGAATAAACAGGAGGAGAAATATGGGAAGAGAATATCAAGGATCTAGAAAAGAAGGGGCCAGCTACCTAGCAACACAGCCAGCCACGGAGTAAAAAGAAAAGACATACAGAAATAGAGAAAGGCAAAAGCCTAGACAAGATAATTTAAGTTAAGAAAAGCTAGCAAGAAACAAGCAAGCTAAGGTCAGGCATTCATAAATAATAATAAATCTCTGTGTGTATTTATTTGGGAGCTGGGTAGCAGGTCCCCAAAAGTCAAAGAGTAAAAAGCATTAAGTTTCCAATACTGAGAGCTGGGACTGAGAACCTCCTCCCCCAGAGAAGTAATGCTTCATCAAACCAACCCATCCTACAGGTCCCCTGCCAAGGAGGAGAACTACCACCTGTCCAGCCATGGGCTGATTATCCAATAATTCAGAGGTCAACAAAAAGACTGTCCACCTTTGTTTTCTGAGAGCACATCTGAGGACAGGGAGAAATGAAAGGCAGTTAAGCAACAAAACTAAGTCCCCCACAGGACACAAGCCCTTCCCCCTTAGAGATGAAGGTGTGACAAGTCTCCAGCCCCTTCATTGAAACTCTTGCAGGGGCACCGGGCCTTTAACTTTCCAAGCCCTTCTGAAGTATATGGCCAAGCAGGAGTGCTTTCCTCACCAGATCTTGTGCCTGAATTCAGGATGGGGGTAGGGAGCTAGCCCTCAGGGTGCAGTATGGCTGCACGGGTGCTATGCCTACTCCTGGGGACCAACACAGCAACACCTTTCCTGATGCCCAGGTATTCTAGGCATCACGAGGACAAGGTGTCCTGGTTTATTGTCTGCCAACTTTGAGAGATGGCTTAATTAAGGGCATGAAGCTTTTTATTTCAGGACAGCTAGAGAGCTGGGCAAGAGAATGGCTGGAGTTTTAATCATGTCTACACCATCAATTACAGAAGCAGACAGTACACCCAGAGGTGGGGCAGGATTATTCCCTCATAAACACTGTGATTGTCAGTACACTGTGTGCACAGAATCGATACCCATGCTTTTTAAAGCTCAAGGCCAAATATAATGTGAGAACAAACACATTTATCCAGGGTTCTCACTGACCAAAGTCATACTCCTTAAAGCTAATGAAGAGCATATTTCTCCTGATCTGTCTAGCAGTGTGGTAGGCTTGGCTGTCTATATGGTTTTAGGATCCAAAGCGGCTTATCAGCAGTGAGCTGGCAGGGAGGGGCTATCAGCCAGAGAAGACTGAGAATACCATAGCCAGGCAGCAGGCCTGCTGGCTGGAGGTGAGAAATAGAAACCTGAGCTAATGATGGAGCTCCACTGGCAGGGTTTTTACCTATGCAGGAAGCTCTGGGAGGCAGAAGCAAGAGGACCACAAGTTCAAGACCATCCTTCAGCTACAGAGAGAATCTGAGGGCAGCCTAGGACACATGAAACTCCAACTCAAAAACAGAATGTGGGAGGAGGATGAGGGTAAGAGGAACATGAACCTCAGGTAGAGGGGTGCTCATGGGGATAGAGACTGCTAACCCAAATGGATTGTGAAAAGGTCATTTAGTTTACAAATATTTTAAAACTGAGTCAACTGTGTCTATCAGAAAATCTGATGTGGGCTGGGGACAAGGCCACCCTGAACATGGCAGTATAATGACCACAATAATGAGAGAGCGTACAGGCTCTGGCCCAAATGGGGCCCAAGAGTCAGTGAGAAGGTAGAGAACGGGTAGAGAGGGGAGAGAAGAGGGGCACTCTTGATATAAGATTTTCTAAGCACTGAGGTATCAATTATGTCCCTTTGGACACTTTGGTGCCTGACCAACAACAGAGGATGAACCTGACCTTACACAGGGTATCACTATGCAGCTCAGACTGGCCTGGAACTCAGTAACAATACTCCTGCCCTGGCCTCCCAGATTCTAGTATGTTCCTCTATTCTATCTATAATCCCATCTGCTCCTTTTTAGATGGGGCATTGGAAAGGTGTCAGGTAATTAAGTGCATAGGGGCTTCCAGCAGCCTGCATACTAAAATTCAGAATGATTTAAAGATCCCCAAATGTAACACCCACACCCTTTTAAAGCATAATCCATCTTGATTCCTGCAACATGTACAATATAAAGCTAGCTTACATTTTTTACAAATATTACAGGCTGGAAAGATAGCTCAGCTGGGAAGGGCATTTACTGCCAAGCCTGATGACCTGAGTTCAGAGGGAAAGAACCAACTCTTGCAAGTTGTCTTCTGTCCTACACACCCACTGGTGCTTGTGCACACCACACATGCATGAGTACAAACACACACACACACACACACACACACACACACACACACACACACACACACCACACACACAAATGGCAAAAGAATAATTTAAAACCATTTACCTCTTCTCTCTCTAGCCATCCGTCCACCACCACCAAAGAACATGTCAAAGATATCCATGGGTGAAGAGAAGCTGGGGCTACCCGAGCCACCTTCTTTAATTGCCTGTTCTCCACCTTGATCATAGATGTCTCTTTTCTTTGGATCTGAAAGCACTTCATATGCCTGGGATATAAGTTTAAACTTTGAAAAAAGAGAGAAAGAGAGAGATTTAAAATGAGTCCCATAGAGGTTTAAGATATGTTCCTATAAGCAAGCCTACCTCCAGATGTAATCACAAAAGCTAGTCTCTCAGCTGCCAGTCTATACATTTGCTGTCTTTTCAATGTGGGACATAGGGGTCAGACGTCATAAAGACATTTGTTCCAAGAACAAGGCTAGAAATCAGGAGGCAGAAAAAGCTTGTCTCCACTCTGGCAGCATTAGCCGGAAGACATGGAGTCCCCCTGGAAAGAGGAGACTGGCAAGGCTTCATCCATAAACGGCTGTAGCCCTGGGCTCCAGGTGCTACCAGGGTTGCCAGCTACTGGAATCATTTTACCAGTTTACAAACATGAAATCCAACCACAGCCACCTGTGAGCACCTGCTGGCATACCAGATACTACGTGAGACCTGTGCTGCCCCTTGCGGTCCTGTCTGATGATCGAAGCATCTCCCCATCTCAGGTATGGGGAAATGCTCACCTGCCTCACCTGTCAATAAATACTGGTGGTGCTATTCTCCCATCTGCAACTCTTGAACTTGATGATAGGCACAATGCCCCATGTGTGGCATGCCTGCCAAAAATTTATCACCAGAATCCAATTGTAAGAAGAGAACTAGAAGCCAGGCAGTAGTGACACATGCCTTTAATCCCAGCACTAGGGAGGCAGAAGCAAGAGGATCTGAGTTTGAGGTCAGCCTGGCCTTCAAAGCGAGTTCCAGGACAGCCAGGGCTACACAGAGAAACCCTGTCTTGAAAACTCAAAAAAGAAAAAAAGAATTAGAAAAACAAAATTGAGGGTGAGGCATCCTGCAAGTCTAAAAGACAGGACAACAAAACAAACTAAACACAGAGGCTTGCCCTGGAGTGTATTGTGCACAGGGAAAATGTTATAAAAGATGTTACTAGAACAAATGGGGAAATATTAAATATGTTTCCAATGTGAAAGTCATACATTTGCTAACTATTATGATCTCCTTTCTCCTAGGGAGAGCATGCTACATACAGTATTTAAGTTGCATATTACTCACAGAAGTGCTATCACATTGGACTACGACGTAACAATTGATTTGTAGTTGTGGGGGATATGTTCCCTGTCTCACTCTTAAGTATATGGACCTTTCTAAAATAAAACAGAACACTAAAACATGCAGTTCTGTCACTTGCTATATTCTGGCCTGGTTCATTCCAGTAACTATGTCACTCCTTCTTTGGTGAACCTCCCAAGCCACCGTCCTTGCTGTCATCTACAACCCAACTCTGCCTTCCTCTCCTCTCTGGCCTCTGATATTTTTGTTTTGTTTTTATATAAGGTCTCACTTTGTAGCACAGACTGGCCTAGAACTCACTATGTTGACTCCAGGTTGACTTCAAACTCACAACAATCTTCCTGGCCCCATCTTCCAAGTTCCTGATCTCAATTCTGCTCCAGTCTGCAGCCTCCTTGCTCGTTCTGAACACTGCAGCATGTGCCCCAGGGGGCCCTATGACAAGCACAGATCTTCAAGCCTCGGCTCAAGGCCCCTTTCCCAGGGAGCCCAACCCACACACGTTCCAGCTTTCAAACTGCAAGCCCACCTCCAGGTCTCTCAGCTCTTGCAAGGGCATTACTTTCTATCATGCTGCACCACCTATTTTTGTTTAGTTTAGTTTTGGTTCGGTTTTTTGAGACAGGTTTCTTTGTGTAACAGCTCTGATTACTCTGGAACTCTCTTTGTAGACCAGGTTGGCCTCTAATTTACAGAGATCTACCTGCCTATGCCTCCTGAGTGCCGGGATTAAAGGTATGTGCCACCACCACCTGGCCTTGCTTAATCATCTATTAATTCATGCTAGACACTGCAAAACAAGCCCCATTAAGACAGAGGTTCTGTCAGTTTGGAGTACCAAGGGTATCCCTGAGCCTACAGCTATGTCTGCCATGTGGATATTTGACAAATATTTACTAAATGAACAGCTCAATTCTGGAAGTTCAGATAGGAATAAATGAGGTTGGCTCTTGGTCCTCCTGAGGTTAATCTTTACTCCGAAAGACAGAAGTATACATAACTATCCTACATGCTCCACAGAACCTACAGGGAAAGTAAATGCTAGAGACACAGGTATTAAAATTGTTCCACAGTTTCCCCGACCAAGACCTAATAAGCAATAACAGCTAATAAACATCAATCAAAAAAGATTAAAAAGTTTAATTAAATATTTTAATTTATGGGTATGTATGTGTATATGCACGTGTACATGTAAGTATTCATGGAGGCCAGAAGAGGACATAAGGATCCCCGTGGTGCTGGAGTTCCAGAGTGTTGTGAGCCACCTGACATGGGTGGCTTTGGTCCTCTGCAAGAGCAGTGCTCTTAACCTCTGAGCCATTTCTGCAGCCCCCAGGGGTCCTGGGGAAGATGACTGGGAGGGGACAAGTGCTTACCAAGCAAACCTCATGACCTGATTCAGATCCCCAGAACACACACAAAAGCTGATGTGCTGTACACATCTGTAATCCTCCAGTGTGATGGGGAGAGAGACAGAGGGGTTGCTCTAGGGTCAAGTAGTCTGTAGTACACTGCGCAGTAGCAGAAACAAAAATCTTGCTTCAAAAGCAAGGCAGAAGGCAAATACTGATTCCAGACATTGTCTCACCTCCACACAGGTGCCATAGCATGCATGAACCTACACTCTAACACACACAAAGCCATCAACATCACATACACAGCAGTCAGATCTTTTGACAAATTAATTCCTTTAATATTTTTTTTCAAGGAAGTGAGTATCACCCACTACCATTGCTTTCTTCAGCAAAACAAAAACATCCAAATACACCAACCTGAGACATAGTTTGGAAGGTCAGAAAGTCACTAGGCTACGCTGCCCCCAAGTGCTTCTGGGTCTCTTTGAAGGCAAGTATGCTCCAAGAGAAGGCCCACTAATACAGTCATCAAATACCTGAATGCCCCAAAGAGGCTTGGACCTAACAGATGGACTGAAGGAAGAACTTCCCTGTCACTTGGGGGATTCAACTGTAGGCCAGACCTGATGAGACAGGCGCTCTAAATGTTGGTAACAAGTCTTCCTATCTCTGTGGACCCCAGCACTCCAGGGTCTAATTCAGCTCCTGGAAGACCTCCTTCCTTCTCAGTTGGGATTAGGGTTTTATGATCTTTCCTACAGACCTTTCATGGAATTCAGCTGAGAAAAGGCTCTAAGAGCAACACAACTTATGATAAATTGTTAAGTGAATAGGAAAAAAAAAAGCCAGGTATAGTATCTCATTCCTATAATCCCTGCACTCAAAGAGGCTGAGGCAGGAGGGTTGCCATGAAGTCAGTCTGGACTACTAGATGGGACTGTAACAAAGCAAAAACAAAAACAAAAGAAAGGAAGGAAAAGTGGTGGGTGGGTAATTGGAGAGACATATGTCAGACCAAGTATGTTCTGGGTAGCTTTTCCTCTATATTCGGAAAATTCTTGGCTTTTCCTTTTTCTTCAAGACAGGGTTTAACAAATCCCAGTTTACCCATGAACTTACTATGTAGCCAAAAATAGCCTTGAACTCAGATCCACTTGCTTTTATCTCCCAAGTGCTAGGATTGCTAGCTTGTACCGTTACACCTGACTGATGCGGCACTGGGGACCAAACCAAGGGGCACTGTGCATGCTGGGAAAGCACTGTATCACCTGAGCTACAGCCCCAGCTCATACTCTGAAACTTTCTGCAGTGTTACATCTGCCAAGATTTTGATCTTGAAAACCTGTTACTCAAACTAAAATTTGCAATGAAACTGGCCAAAGGTTCAGGCACATCTCAATAAATTATCTATCATCACCTCTGAAAGGGACTATTTTTGCTGACCTACCACCCTGTGTCTTGCAGAAAACCAACTGCAGCTAGAACAAGCACAGACTTCATGCTGGGCAGTGTGGCTAACAACAAACACAGGCTGCCCACTGCTTAGCAACACAGGACAACAGAATAGAAAACAAAGACTACACTGCCCGGCTTCCCAGCTGTCCCAGGACAAGGTGGGAAAGCAGGACTCAGCCTAGTTGTGAAGATGACATTGATAATACAAACAACTTACATGAAAAAAAAAAAAGGACAAATTCTCGCCCATAGCATATAAAGTAGTCCAAACTACATACAAATCCTCACAAAAACCTGAAAAAGCCTGCATGGTGTGCCTAGCATGTCACAGGACAACAAAAGCTATCTGGTGAGCGAATGAATGAGCCTTCTGGGGATCTCTATAGCAGTTTCTACAAATTGCATCCCCGGCCTCCTCATCCCCTCTGATTTGCAATCCACATTTACTTCTAGTCCTTTTTGTGTCTTTCTGTCCCATTTCTGGAAAGCCTAGTACCTATCTATACGGCATAGCTAGACTCACCCACCCACAGGATTAGACACAAGGTCCATTACAGTAGGATAAGGGTGAGGGTTGGTCCATTAGTCTGTGGTCAGATGAAACCTCTGCCAGGATGTTAGTAAAGAGCTAAAGGAAATGGGTGACCCCTTCATGGAAAGTAGAGAGGGAAGTGTGTTTCCAACAGAGTACACACTGCCCCACTCCTTGCAAAACAAAAAACAAAAAACAAACAAACAAACAAAAAAACAAAACAAAAACGATGGACCTGCCACATCTCACTATGTAAAAGAATTGTTTGTGTAATACTAACTTGGGCACCTGGCTATTAAGTAAATATTAGTTTAAAACAAAGGGCAAGTAATCTGCCCAGGCAGGTGTGTAGGGGGTGAACGTTACACACTATGTGAAGAGGGCAAATGTAATTTGTTTTTAAAGCTTTGCCACATCAAATGCACTCTCCTCTCAAATGATAAGCAAACATCGGGAACTGCCTCTTGGTGACTGTGATGTGACCTGAGACCAGAGAGGAAGGGTTTTCCCTAAGCTGCCTTATGAACAGCAAGTCAGAAGCCTAGAAGCTCTCCTTAAAGGAGAGTGTCAGCATGGCTGGAGAGATGGCTCAGCAGTTAAGAGCTCTGGCTACTCTTGCAGAGGACCAGGGTACAATTCCCAGCACCAACACGGTGGCTAACAACCACCTATAACTCCAGTTCCAGAGGATCCAACACCTTCTGGCTCACAAAGGCACCAGGCAGGCCTGGTGTGTATGTGGTACCCAATGTGTATGTGGTACCCAAATACACATTCAGGCAAAACACCCCCACACACAAAAATATCAAGAAAAAGAATGTCAACCACAGACAACCTTGAACTGAGGAAACACATCTGTGAATCACCAACACAATGCAGAAAGCCGGTGACTTTAAAAGCTACAGTAATCCACCTAAATATAGATCAGAAAACACAAATGGGTATAACAGTCTTACAGGGAAACACTTTAAACTTGTGACAGCCACATTCAGCACATGTGGCTAAATATAAACATTCTATCATTGCCTCCACCAGCTAACCTTCCTTAAGTAGCTTGCCTACTCCAGCTTGGAATTACAAACACAGACAGGTATTTTGATCCAAGTGTCATTTCCACAGGTCTACATGCCAGATAGGACGATCAGGGGCTCCAAAAGCTGTCCAGGTGCCATTGCTATCAGCTTCTACCACGGCACTGGCTCCCCAAACTCATCTGGGACATCCAAAGGGGGTTTTTGTTTGTTTGTTTTTTAAATGGCAAGAAGTGAAGGGAGAAATGGGATAGCTAGCCAGCTCTCTTTGCAAAGGCTGATTGCCTATTCAGGTGGGGCATGTCCTCTTTGGGAACAAAAGGAATATTTAATTTCTGTAAAAAGGATGAAAGGTTTAATTTAGGTCACTAATATGCAGAGCATTTCAACCTATCATCTGTAGGTACTTAATGGTCAACTGTGGGGCATTTGTCACAGGAAACCCAGAGTTCTCACTATAAACAGATGTGTCAGGTTACAGACTTCTGCATCCCTGTTTAATAACAACAAAAACAGTGACGATTCAGTATCCGAAAACTGTATCAGGCAGGAGGTGGCCTCAGAGATCAAATCTATTCAGTCCCTCTTAAAAGGGACACTGGTTTTGTCTGGGGTACAACTGAGATCACAGAAACTCATCCCTAGGGCTTATGCAACAAATGGAATATAAACACAAAAGTAGCTCGCTGCCAGGGGTGCCCACCAAGCACACAGCTTGTGTTCACCCGTGCCCGGGGTTTCTGGTCTGCCGGCGTCCTCTCCCATAGAATGCCAGCAGTAGCTCTGAGAGCTGGGCTCCCACAGGTCAGTGCCAGAGCCCCCCAAAGTCCTCACAGCCGGGAGGCAGGGGCTCCAAAAACACTTGTAGAGTGAATGGGGCTCGCACCCCGCACCCGTCGCGCCCGGGCTAGGGGTCCCCCACTGACCGCGCCCCACGGCCTCCCTCGGGCTGGGGCTGGCGCGGTGCCTGCAGACAGCCTCCGCGCCGATGTCAATAATTCACAGCCCGGGTCCTCCCGTGTCCCCGGCGCCCCGCGCAGCCCCGCACCTTCTCGCCCTCATCCGGGTTCTTGTCCGGGTGGTACTTGAGCGCCAGCTTCCTATAGGCCTTCTTGATCTCCTCCGGGGACGCGCTGGGCTTCACCCCCAGGATGTCATAGTACTGGGTCTCCTTCACCATCTTGTCTCTGCGGGGTGGGGCGGGCGAGGCTGGTCAGCGCGTCCCCGACGCCCCCGGAGCCCCCGGCCCGCGCCCCCGCCGCGGGCCTGAGCGTCACCGTCTCGGTCGCGGCCGCTCCCGGGGCTCCGTCCGGAGCGTGCGCCCGGGACCCACTTGCGCGTCCGGCACAGCCGCACTCGAGCCGCCGGCGCCTCCGCCGCGGGCTTTTATTCGGCGCCGGCGGAAGGTTCCGCTAGGAGGCGTGACGGCACAAAGGCCCAGAACCTTCGCGGAGGTTCCGGCGGCTCCCGGCTCGGTTCTCGGGCGAGCCGAGCGCGCGCGCGCTCACCCGGTGTCCTCGGGCGTCTGCGCCTCCGGCTGTCCGTCCGACTCCCCAGAGCTCCAGTTCTGAGTGCCGCCGCGGGCCATGTTGGGGGTGGGGGGTTTGGGTTTCGGGGTGGAGGGTTCGGGCTTCGGGGTGGAGGGTTCGGGCTTCGGGGTGGAGGGTGCCCGCTGCCGATTGTCACGCCGCCCCGAGGCCTGACCCTTGCCTTTGCGTGGGTCTGGGGGGTTGGCCCGCTCTGGATTCCGCTGTCCTGCAGGAGGGCCTCGTGTGCGCGAACCCTGGAGCTTGGACTGGGAGGGCTGTGAGCGTACAGCCGGCCCCACCCGGCCTCTGCCCCGGGGTGTGGTCGCCTTCTGTTCGGTCACTGCAGGGGTGTGCTCTGGGGCCTGCCTCGGATTATTGCATTTTTGAGGGGGTTGGAGTGGATGGCTGCCCTCTGGGGTGGTGTGGAGATCCTGCGGTTGCTGGTTCCCCCTAGGCATCTTGAAGGCTGGGTGACCCTTAGCCTTTGCAGGTGTGAACAGTAGTCTTCTGGTGGCTGAGTTTGGATACTGCCTCTCTACTGCCCACAGCTGGAAACCTCATAAGTACCCGAGGGGTGAGGAGTGACGTCTCCCAGCTGTGAGCAGTGATGACGTCTGTCACATGTGAGCAGTGACATCCCCCAAGTCTCTCAAGAATGGGCAGTGATCCTTCTTTTTCTCAGGCGTGGGTATCCCCCCCCCACACACACACGCACATCAGTGCACAAAATGACTGAGGCAGAGCTACACTTAGTAAGTCCGGTATTACAGATCTAACGCCTGTCGAAGCAGACACGGCCAGGTGGCCCAATCTTCAACTTCTCTAGTCTGCTTTCAAAGAATGTCATGATCATGACTACTGAAATACGTGGGCGTGGAACAGCCGTTGCAGCGCTATCAGAATACTGCAGGCCCCTCTGGCCTAGGCCACCTAGGCTTCTGTTGGTGCAACACTTTACCCGGAAGAGGATGCCAGCCTGCCCAGCTTCCCCGGGATCCTCTGACCTGGGTTTTGACCTGGTGGCTGAAACTTCTTTCCTTCATGCAGGATACAAAGGGATACAAAGGACTTAATACCCGTGAGAAATTAAGCCAAGTTTCTAGCTTCTGTTCCCAGGATCACGATTTTTCTCTCTCTGGATCTTGCCCTGGATCTCTCGCTTTGGATAGATTCAGAACTGGAGGTCAGGAATTTGGGATCCCATTCCTGTATGTTCTCACCTACATGAACCTCTGACTCTGGGCTTATTTCTCCACTACTGAGAAATGTTCATTGTCAAGTGCCCACATTTCTCATAGGACATCTATCAGGATCAAACAGGATGATGGCTATAGCGTTAGCAAGAACCTGGCTTGCCCATAGGGACCAGTTGGAAACTTTATTCTTTTCCTGTTTTTTGTTATTGCTGTTGCTTTCAAGACAAGGTCTTGCAACATAGCCTAGATTGCCCTTAAACTCAGGATCCTCCAGCATCTGGCTCCCAAATGCTGGAATTACAGATATGAGGTATTATATTAGCTCATCTGAAAACTCTAGCCTACATCCCAAACATTGCAGAGCTTCCAGGTGGAGAGCAGGCACCCTGTCAGGTAGACCCAGTATTGGAGCTAGAGCTGAGAACATAGACAGCCTCACATACATGTCCAGATTCAGTTCTATGAACCAGTGGCAGCGGTAGGATGGGCCTGTGTGAAAGTTGGCTTACATGTGATCAGAATCTAGAAACAGCAGATAGCAGGGAGGCCAGGTTACGAATCCCAGCATTTTTTTTTTTTTTTGAGACAAAGTCTTAGTTATAGCCCAGAATGGCCTCAAACTTGTGTTCGTAAGCTTCCAAATGAACTGTGTAACACACTGTATATAGTCTCAATATATGCTGATGACTTTTTTTCCCTGAGACTAAGTTTTTCACTGTATCCTTGATTATCCCAGAACTCATTTTGTAGACCAGGCTGGCCTTGAACTCAGAGATCCACCTGCCTTTGCCTCTCAAGTGCTATGTTTAAAGGCTTGGACTTTTTCTTTTAATCTAAGCTAAACACAGATAAAAATTTACTTTACCAACCACTAGACTTTCCTCTGAGCCTTTTCCAGTCTAGATCTGTAAAGGCTGTATTTCTAAAATGACCCAGCCACCCTTAAAACTCCTACCTGACAAGGTCAAGGCTGCTAAAGAACTGACCATTGTAGCCCATGTCTTCCTTCCACTAGGGCTCTGGCTCCCAGTCTCCCTTAGAGGGCAGGATCCTGACTGATCATGGACAGCTCTATCTGCTTTCCACCAACCAACCCTTTAAAATGTCTTACTTCCCTGGCCCTGGAGAAGCCCTCGGTGTCCCTCTCCCTCTACCCTTTCTGTAAAAGTCCAGGGACTTCCATGCAGATAGAACACAAGATTCTTGCAAAATTTATTACTGACCAAAACCTACCCTTAAGACTTCTATGAACCTTTGCTTTGTTTATCTTGTTTTTGGTCTTTGTTTTTTGAGACAAGTTCTCATAGAGTCCAACCTAAACTGGCTGTGATGCCAAGGATGGCATTGAATACCCTCATCCTTCTGCCTCTACAAGGACTTTGATGATCTGAACTGTTCCCTAGATTTCTACCTATGAGGATTTGAGGCTATATGCAAACTTTTATCATGTTTATCTTCATGGTTGCTATCCTTTCTCCAAACCTTTATTGCAGATGGCATTGGTTTTCCAGACTCAGTGAACAATGTAGTTTCCTTAGAGATAAACATGATAGTACTGACTTGCAAGAATAAAGGGAGCCTGGTGGTACTTAAACTAGTGCAATTTGGGAAATGTGGGCCCAATTCCATCACCTTCTTTTCCAGATGGGCAAACTTTTAAATGACAGGTACAAGCAGAAGGTACATTATGGGTCTTGCTCCCCACTCCTGGTGCTGAGCTCTCTGATGACCAGGACAGGAGGAAAGTCACCATGGTAGTAGCTTTTGTCCAGGGAATCTGGCCCAAGTCCTCCCTAAGAGCCAAATCTGATAGGGAAAGGGACAAGAAGGATGTGTCTAATAAGGGGCAAAGATCAGACACTGAGAAGTTGCAAGTACCTTGAATAGAGGCAGGAAGGAGGGGAGCCATGCTTTACAAAGGCAGAGAGCCCAGAACTCTAAAGATGTCTTAGGGAGGTCATTGCTTTTCCTCTGATGGGCCCTGGGGAACAAGGGTTGCATTCTGGGTGGAGTAACAAAGAGCAGTGGCCATGAAACCTGGGGTGTGCCCCCTCATGGAGAGGGTTGAGCTTGATAAACAGGTTTGAGTGGCTGGCCCAGAGAAAGAGTGTGGGGAGAGGAAGTGAAGACCAAGGAAAAGCCTTGGGGGGACACTTGCCTGCAGGAGATGGAAAGAGGAAGAACAGCCATTAGTGAGGCAGAGACCTCCCCACCCTGGAAAATGGAAAGGACTGAATCCATAGGATCAGAGGATGGAGAAGGGGCAGAGAGGACTGACTGTTCAGTCCTCCAGAGCCTAGGGTGGCAGGGCTGGTGCTTGGCAGGGGAAGACATGGGGCTTTCCAATGAAGAGATATTAATTTATCAGCTCACAAAACAGTTGCCATCCAAACCACTCTTACACTATCACAAGGAACTTCTGCTTGGGGAAGCCCTGCCTCTCACTGGCTGTGTGACTCTGGGCAAGTAACTAGATCTCTCTGGGCCACTCCATCCTCTCCTCTACAAAATGAGAAGAGCACCTAGGTCAGCCAGGCCTGGTGGCAGACACCTGTAATTCCAGCTACTCTAGGGGCTGAGAATCCTGCCTGCTGCTCTACAGAGTATGTCCAGGGCCAACCTGGACAACTTAGTGCATCCCTATCTCCAAAAGTAAAAAGAAGGCTTGGGTTGTAGCTTCCTTCATGTGCAAACATGAAGACGTGAGTTTGACTCCCAGTGCCCACATCAGCTGGACATGGCAGAACCAGCTGGTAATCCTAGCGCTAGAGAGGCAGAGATAGGATTATCTGTCTTAGCATTAACTATGAAAGGAAGGGAGGCGAGAAGGAAAGGAAGCCTGAAAGGGTGGAGGGATGGCCTCGAGCAGCTGTCTCCAAGGCTGCTGTAAATTAGATGGATAGTGTATAAAGGGCTCAGCATACACAGTAAGTGGAGCAAGTGATTGTGCCATGGTTTGTGTGTACCTGCTCAATGGGGACCTGGGTCCTTCAGTTGTTCATAGACTAGCAATGCCTGGGTATCTGGGTGACCCATGGAGCTCTCCACACCATAGAAATTTTAAGGAACTCATTGAAAGAGCTCATCACTCACTGTCATTTGCTTGAACAGGCATAGCCCAAGTGTCCTCTGATGTTTCTGTGGGTTATAGATTCTGGTCCCTGAGAGGCCACTTCCTTCTGGAAGTTGGCCTTTACCCAGAGTTGATGTCACCTTTATTTGGGGATGCAGAACTATGGAAGTGGTGATATGACATCCAAGTGTTTGTGACCCATTGTGTCCAGCTAAAGAAGGTGTAGGACACAGTGTGAACCAGGTGCCATTCTCACCCTCACAGAGGGCAAGAGTAAGTTGGAGATAAAGCTCCTACTGTGTGCTGTGATGAGAGTAGGGAAGGAAGAGTATTCTCTTGTGCTCTGGGTGGTCAAGAGGTATCCTGGCATTGGTGAGCTCCATGGTGGGTCCTGCAGGTCTGGGGAGGAAAGTGCCAGAGCAGACTGAAGGCCCTAGGTGGCAAGACCTTGGCTCCCAAAAAACAGAAAGGGACAGTTGTCTCCAGGATAGAGATGAAGTGGGGATACAGACCTTTGTTGGGGGGGGGTTGTACTTTTTTGGGGGACTGAGTTGCCTCTAAAAGTCTTTAAGGGTAAGATTGTTTCATGTTTAGTTCATAAAATTTACTTTTTTATTTTTTTAGAGACAGGTCTCACTATGTAACATGTTCTGGAACTCACTCTGTAGACCAGGCCTCAGTGATTCACCTGCCTCTGTCTCCTAAGTGCTAGGATTAAAGGTGTACACCGCTTTTTATTTTTAAGTTAAATTTTAACTTTAGCAAACTCACCATGTTGTCATAAGCAACATCTTTTCATTCTTTGTTCTAGCTTTAGTAATGTGGAATTATAAAACATTTATTTCTTGAGTCATTGTCTTTTAGACTTAATTTGAAGACAGTTTGTTCTTTTGAAACATAGTGAGATTCTCAATTGTCAAAGCAATGTTAGATTCAAAATGACCATGAATTTTATGAATCAGACTTGAACATTGTAATGCAATCACTTGGGACAGTCACTATAGAAAAACTACAAATATTTTTCTTCCATTATGTGCTTGGATTCTGTTTTTTAAAAATGCCTTTATTGAAGAATAATTGGCACACAACAAATTGCACATACCTTTTGATACATTTGGATGTCCTTATATGTGCCCATTAAACCATCCTCTTAATTGAGATAGTGAACATATTCACTGCTTCCAAAATC